GCCCCAAGGTAATTGAGCTTTGGAGACTTATACAGGGATGGATATTAGAAATCACTGGATATAAATTACAATTGAAACCAGAATACTATCTATTAAATATAAGGCCAGATAAGATAGGCACGAATACATGGTGTTTGATTGTATATATCATAACTGCAACAAGAATATGCTTTGCTCAATATTGGAAAGGGAAAGACTTGCCGGCTGAAGATTTGATTTTGGGAAAAATTATGGAATATGCAAAAGCTGACAGGTTAACAAAAATTTTGAGAGATCAAAAGGATTCCGCATATTTTCAATGCTGGGACCAATGGTATACTTGGTTGAATAATAGACTAAAAAGAAGATAAGGTTAGTATAGATTTTATATCTTATTCGTATATTTTGACTGAACTTAATATATTGTGTAAAGCTCCCGTCACGATCTGTATGTGAATAAATACTTTGTTTGTAAAGAAATAAATAAAAAAATAAAAAAAAAAGAATGCTACAATGGGCATAAATGATGACTAGTCATAAATGCGAAGACTGGTCAAAAGTGTGAGGACCTGTCAGAAATCACTTTTTTCAGCCCTCTGGGTAGTCCTTTTGTGCATATGGACTACTCAGAGGGCTGAAAAAGTTATTTTTGACTGGTCCTCACACTTTTGACCAGATCTCGAACTTACGACTGTCCTCAACATTTTACGTTTTTGCCCTATCTTGTCACTGTGATGAAGAGAAGCAGTTGTGAAATGAGTGACACGGTTGTTAAGAATGCCGCAACGAGCATAAATGTGAGGATGGTCATAAGTGTGAGGACCGATCAAAAGTGCGAGGACCAGTCAGAAATGACTTTTTTCAGCCCTCTGAGTAGTCCCTATGCAGATAGCCACGCCCACCCGGTCACATGACCAGCCAGCCACGCCCACCCAGTCACATGACCAGCTAGCCACACCCCCAACTAAGCCATGCCCACAGAACCGGTTGTTAAAAAAATTGAATCCCCCTACTGCCTCCGTCCCTCACACGGTGCATCGCTGGAGAAGTTTCAATTGCTTCTTTATTATTTATTTATTTATTAAATTTATTTATTTATTTATTAAATTTATATACCGCCCTATTCCTAAGGGACTCAGGGCGGTGAACAGCGAACGATAAAAATACATGTAATACAAACGTTAATAATAAAAAACCAATTAAAATATACTAAACATTCTGGTCCTAGATAATTCAAGACATCCCAGTTTAAAATAAAATCAAAAAGCAATATAAAGGGAAAGTTAGCCCAGGCCGGCCTGCTGAAACAGGAATGTTTTGAGGGCACGGCGGAAAGTGCGCAGATCCGGAATCTTCTGTATCTCTGGGGGGAGTTCGTTCCAGATGGTGGGTGCCCCCACAGAAAAGGCTCTCCCCCTGGGGGCCGCCAGTCGACATTGTTTGGCTGACGGCACCCTGAGAAGCCCCTCTCTATGGGAGCGTACTGGGCGGTGAGAGGCTATTGGTGGCAGAAGGCGGTCTCGTAAGTACCCCGGTCCTAAGCCATGGAGCGCTCTAAAGGTGGTAACTAAGACCTTGAAGCGCACCCGGAAGACCACAGGGAGCCAGTGCAGCTCGCGCAGGAGGGGAGCCACATGGGAGCGCCATGCTGCTCCCATAACTACCCGCGCGGCCGCATTCTGGACCAGCTGGAGCCTCCGGGTGCTCTTCAAGGGGAGCCCCATGTAGAGAGCATTACAGTAGTCCAGGCGTGAAGTGATGAGGGCATGAGTGACCGTTTTTAACGAGTCCCGATCCAGAAAGGGACGCAACTGGCGAATCAGGCGAACCTGATAAAAAGACCTCCCGGCCACAGCTGTCAAGTGTTCTTCTAAAGACAGCCGTGAGTCCAAGAGGACGCCTAAGTTGCGAACCCTCTCCGTGGGGGGCAATGACTCATCCCCAATAGTCAGTGATGGCACCAATTGACTATATCGGGACGTCGGAAACCACAGCCACTCGGTCTTGGATGGGTTGAGCCTGAGTCTGTTCCTCCCCATCCAGATCCGTACAGCCTCCAGGCACTGGGACATCACTTTAAGGGCATCATTGGGGTGGTCCGGGGTGGAGATGTATAGCTGAGTATCATCAGCATACTGATGATACTTCACCCCAAAACCACGGATGATCTCACCCAGCGGCTTCACATAAATGTTGAACAGAAGGGGTGAGAGAACCGACCCCTGTGGCACCCCACATATAAGGGGCCTCGGGGTCGACCTCTGCCCCCCTGTCAACACAGACTGCGACCGATCAGATAGAAAGGAGGAGAACCACCGCAACACGGTGCCTCCCACCCCTAACTCCTCCAACCGGTGCAGCATGATACCATGGTCGATGGTATCAAAAGCTGCTGAGAGGTCTAATAGGACCAGGATAGAGGAGCAACCCCTGTCCCGGGCCCTCCAGAGATCATCTACCAATGCGACCAATGCCGTTTCCGTGCTGTATCCAGGCCTGAAGCCCGACTGGAACGGATCTAGATAAGCCGATTCATCCAAGTACTGAGGAAGCTGTCGCGCTACCACACTCTCAACAACCTTCGCAATGAAGCGAAGGTTGGAGACTGGACGGTAATTAGCCAACACTGCTGGGTCCAGAGAAGGCTTCTTGAGGAGAGGCCTCACCACCGCCTCCTTCAAGGCAGCAGGGAAGACACCCTCTCTCAAGGAAGCATTTATAATCCCCTGGAGCCAGCCTCGTGTAACCTCCCGAGAGGCCAGCACCAGCCAGGAGGGACACGGGTCCAATAAACATGTGGCCGCGCTTAGTCTGCCCAGTATCTTGTCCACGTTTTCCAGAGTCACAGAATCAAACTCTTCCCAGATAATATTCTCAAGACTTGCCTCCATCCTCCCTCCCGAATCTACCCAGTCAGAGTCCAAATTTTCCCGAATCTGAGCGATTTTGTCATACAAATATTGTACAAAGTCCTCGGCTCTACCCTCCAAGGGGTCCTTCCGCGCTTCCTGGTGGAGCAGGGAGCGGGTCACCCTAAACAGGGTGGCCGGGCGATTATCTGATGACGCAATAAGAGCGGAAAAATAGTTACATTTTGCCGCTTTTATTGCCACCAGGTAGGTCTTAATATGAGACCTTACCAGTGTTCGGTCAGATTCAGAACGGCTGGCCCTCCAACTGCTCTCCAGGCGTCTTTTCCGGCGTTTCATCTCCCTCAGCTCCTCGGTGAACCAGGGAGCCAGGTGAGATCGACGCCGGGTCAGAGGCCGCAAAGGCACGACCCAGTCCAAAGCTCCAGCGGCCACCCTATCCCAGATAGCAACTAGGTCTTCAGTCGAGCCGTGTGCCAGAGCCTCAGGAAATGGCCCAAGCTCCGTCTGGAACCTATCCGGGTCCATCAGGCGCCTGGGGCGGAACCACCTCATCGGTTCCGCCTCCCTGCAGCGGGGTGTGGCAGTTCGAAGGTCAAAGCGAAGGAGGGAGTGATCTGACCATGACAAGGGCTCGATCGCTATATCCCCTATCTCGAGACCACTCAGCCACTGACCAGAGACAAAAACCAGGTCCAGCGTGTTTCCCCCCGTGTGAGTAGGGCCATGAACTAACTGGGTCAGGTCCATGGCCGTCATGGAAGCCATGAACTCCTGAGCCACCTCAGACGCCTCACCGACGGATGGCAGGTTGAAGTCCCCCATGACCATAAGTCTAGGGGTATCAATCGCCACCGCGGCTATAACGTTGAGTAGTTCAGGCAAGGCCGCTGCCACGTGGCAGGGAGCCAGGTACGTAACCAGCAGGCCCATCTGCACCCCATGACCCCACTTCACAAGGAGGGATTCACATCCGGCCGTCTGAGGAACAGTGGCCTCCCTCGGACTAAGACCCTCTTTAATGATAACTGCCACCCCCCCGCCCCTTCCCTGTGACCTTGGCTGATGAAATGCCCGGAAACCGGGTGGGCACATCTCTATGAGAGGGACTCCCCCCTCCTGGCCCAACCAGGTCTCCGTAATACCCACCAGGTCCGCTCCCCCCTCCTGAACAAGATCACAAATGAGGGGGGCTTTATTTACCACAGACCTGGCATTGCATAGCATCAGCCGAAGGCCCAGGGCCTGAGGGTCTGTGCCACCTGGGGAACGAGAAGAGCATTGGGGGCCGGAGCGTGCCACCGCTTGAAGACAGCGAGCGCGCACTCCCGTAACTTGATGTGGCCCCCTACTCCCACCATATCTGCCCCTCCCACCTACAGTACTGATGTAATGTCTATCAACAGCACAAGTTCTAACCCTCTCCTTGGCCCCAGATTCTGCATCTCCTCCGCCGTGCTCTTCAGATGGACTAGACCCCATCCCTCGCGGGTTAATCCCTGAACCCATACAACCCACCCCCCTCCCGGGAGGCTCCCCAGCCTCATTATTTACATTGGAAACCACTTTCCTCCCAGATCCCCTTAAAATAGAATTTGAAAAACTATCTAAAAAACCCCAAAGCTTCCGGTTGTTGGCTGTTAATGCTGCCTATCTCCTATTTATATTTGATTCTCACTCTTTGCATTTCCTCAGTTTCTCCGTGCCCTTTTCTCCCAATGAAACACCCAGATCCACCCCAGGCTCCCTTTCACTGGAGGAGAAGAGGGGGGTTTAGCTGCCTCTTGAGCTGCACACAGACCCACCTGCAGTGGGAACAGAACAAAGGGGAAATTCCACCATGCTAACCACAAACCCACAAATACAGGAATTCATTTAAGAAAGAATACAGCATTTTCAAATGAGCAGAGTTTAATATTAAAATGCCATGGTATCTACTCTTTGGAACCATTATTCCCTGAGTAATTGAATTGGCCAGATCTGTTGAGTTGATTCCCCTCCTTCTCCTCTGGATTCCTCCTCCAAAGGATCTAAGATTAATGGATCAATATAGGGACCCCCATACCTGCCATGGCTGCAGCCTTGGAGACCCCAAACTCTTTTCTCCCTCCTTCCTTCTCTTCCTCCTCCATCTGAAGGAATAAGCAGCATTCAAGGCTTCGGCCAGAGTCTTCATCATACAGTAATATTCATACTCATTTGGGGCCCGGATCCTGTTCCATTTCCACTGGGTCTCCAGTGGGGCTTTCTGGGTGCATCTTCTGCGGCCTTTGACAGAAAAGACGCTCTTTGAAAGAGAACAGCGGAAATAAAAATCTTGAAACTTTTCTTCCACAAAGAAATGGGGTTCAAAGGCAGAATCTCTTGGCCTTTCTTTTGGCAGATAACCAAAGTTCAAAATACTATGGATGTATTTGAGAAGTCTACGCTTGTCCATTGGATACCCTGCAAAATTTGTGAGGATCCAGACTTTCCCTTCAATGGGTCCTGGCAGACGCATAAATGTTAAATGGAAAGGAAGAATTCTCTCCCAAATGGAATCATCTTCTATGAAGTGAACAAAGACGTTGACTTGTCTCCACTTAGAGAGGGAATCCCTGAGGTATGCTGTATATCCAGTTGTTAAGAACAGTTGTGATATAACCACACAAATTCCACTCCTGACAAGCACAGGAGGAAAAATCCTCATGAAATTCTCTCCATTTTCTGTGTCTGAAGCAAAGAGGCCAATCAGGGTCCATCTGAAATGGAGGAGCAGGTGGACAATTGCTGGATAGTGGAATCCTTCTTTGGGATTCATCCGGTGGAAAAAGGGGAATTTCCTTTTATCACTCAGAGCCTCTGAAGCAATTTCAACTTTGATCTGAAAAAGCAATGAAGAAAGCTGTGTTACATTTGGGATCAGATCAAGTCCAAAATATTAGATTTTAATAAATCCAACCTGGTTCTCATGAATGTATTAGAATAGTTTGTTAATCAGACATTGTTTAAAATATTAAAGACAGAATATTAGCAAGATTGTATCATAATAATAGAAAATAATAAGCAAATTAAAAAACAATAAAAATGTAAATCATATTACTGTATCATCCCTACAATTTATCACAATTAGATTAACACGTGCAAATGCCAACTGGAGTATTCTATTCCAATAAAGGGCCTATTATAATTTTCGAGGATTGCTGAATCTTTTTGTGCTTCTATATCCCAGATTCTTTCTGGAGGAAATTTTTTAATTTCTTTCTCCAGTTGTACAAGAAACAGGCAGACCTCAAAGCCTAATAAGATTTGTCAGTTGCATAATCCAAGTTTGGTCTTTAATTGAAGTTTTGTCTGTTCCAACAGCCACAATTTTCAGAGTCTGTCAGTTTTCATAGATTAAATTTTATGCCAATGCCCATATTTTCTGAATTTAGACAAAACAGAAATTGTGTAAATTCCCAAATCAGCTCTGAGGGCAGCAGCTGGAGTCCTTTTACCCAACCCAAGATCCTCCTCAGAGGCTGAGATTGGGTTGGTTCTGCTGGTGGTTTCTCTCTGAAGCCCCAAACATCAGATTGATGTAAGAACATGGGGGAAAACTGGGCCTCGTATACGTTAATAATTGGGGCTGAGGAAGCTGGAGAGCTATGAGGTTTTCATTTAAGCACCACTTTCACTCCTGCCCTTTCTCTAACTGAGCTCCTTGGATGATGAGGGAGCCAAGATTCAGGCTCAGAGTGTTGAGTATTGAATGGCAGATTTGAACAGACCAATCAGGAACGGGAGCGGGAGATTCAGAGTAACGTCAGTGGCTGAAGCCGTGGACAGCTCCTAGCTATAAAAGGAGCTGCCACAGCCAGCATTGCCATTGCGATTTACGGAGCTAATAAAGGTATTTACCGTTACTGCGTGTCCAGTCCTTCTTGCACCCACTATTTAACACTGGCGACGAAGGTGGGATTCTGAAGGACAAAGAACGAAGCACTGAACCTCCAACAAGCAATCGTCAGCCATCCAAATCAACGACTACTAACACCAGTCAGATCATTGGCTATCACCATGCCTTCTATCAGCCCACCCGCACCTTTCAACCAAGCTGGAGAAGACTGGGAATCTTACATGGAAAGATTCCATGTGTTCCTGGAGGGGAACAATCTATTGAGCCTGTCGGAACAAAGAAAAAGAGCTATATTCCTCACGCATTGCGGTGCCGCCGTATTCAAGATGGCAAAAGTGCTCGCAGCCCCGACCGAGCTAAGAATAATGTCCTGGCCGGCTCTACAAAACATCCTAAAGGCACACTACGCTCCCCAAGCTTCATCCCTGGTAAGGAGACATGAATTCTACTGGAGGGATCAGAGGGAAAGGGAATCAATAAGTGAATTCCTTGCGACCCTGAGGGAGATAGCTGCAGCCTGTGACTTTTCCAACTTAGAAGAAGCTATGAGGGATCGGCTAGTGTTGGGGTTAAAAGACCTCACATTGCAGAGTAGACTACTGGCCAAGCTGCAAATAACTTTCAAAGAAGCGATGGAAGAAACCACCGCATCAGAAGCATCCCAGAAATCCGCAGCAGCCATGAAAAAGATGAACAAAGGGCCGCAAGGAAAAGAACTACAGCCAATTAGATAAGGAAGCATTGGCTGCAGTAGCCGGAATAAAGAGGTTCCACGAGTATTTGTATGGGCAGAAATTCGAACTTATCACCGACCATAAGTTATCTTTGAGACCGCCTGCTGCTACCGACGGCCTCCCATCAACCTGTGCGCTCCCACAGAGAGGGCCTCCTCGGGGGGCCGATCAGCCAAACAATGTAGGCTAATGACCCCCAGGGGGAGGGCCTTCTCTGTGGGGGCACCTACCCTCTGGAATCAGCTGCCCCCAGAGATAAGGAGAATCCAAGACCTCAGTGCCTTCCGCCGTGCCCTTAAAACCTTCTTTTTCTACCAAGCCGGGCTGGCCTAACACTTTTTAAAATGTTTTTAATTGTCTGTTATTGTTTTTAATCATGGGGCCAAATTTATATATATCTTTTTAATTGTATTTTAATGTTAGTAGTTTATGTTTTTACTTGGCTGTTCTCAGGGAGAAGGGCGGTATACAAATTTAAAAATAAATAAATAAATAAATAAATAAATAAATAAATAAATAAATAAATAAATAAATAAATAAACAAACAAACCATTACTTGGCATCATCGCCGGAAACAAACCCACACCTCCCATACTATCACCAAGAATGCTCCGTTGGATAGAGTTCCTAACAGCCTATGATTACCAGCTGAATTACAAGCCCGGGAAGACGATCGACCATGCTGACGCACTCAGCAGATGCCCACTTCTGGAAACAGCAAAAGACCCAGCTCCAGCATCAACCACACTAATGATTGAAACGATGGGAAGTGCACAGATCTCCGCTGCAGACATCGCGAGAGCCACAGTAAAAGACAAAAATCTGGCATGCGTTTTGAACTGGATCTGGAAGGGATGGCCAGAAGCGAATGTGGATGCAGAATTCCAACCATTCAAATCAAGGCAGACCGAGCTGTCGGGATTAAAAGGGTGCATATTGTGGGGAGACAGAGTCATAATTCCCGGGGTGCTAAGGCAGGACATTTTAAACATGCTACACGAGGGGCACCTGGGAATCGTGAAGATGAAAGCATTGGCAAGAAGCTATGTGTGGTGGCCTGGAATGGATAAGGAGATAGAGGCATGGTTGGCAACCTGCACACCCTGCCAAGAGTCATGACCAGCACCACACACTGCACCCACATACAATTGGGAGAATCCGGGAACACCCTCGTCCAGAATATATATAGACTTTGCCGGGCCATGCCAGGGCAACATGTTCCTATTAATAGTGGACGTGTTCTCCAAATGGCTGGAGGTGTGCCTAATGCCATCGACAACCAAGGAGGCCATCATCTGAGTTTTAAGAAGATTGTTTGCAACACATGGGCTGGCCGACTTGTTGGTGTCAGACAATGGGCCCCAGTTCACAGCTAATGCGTTCGAGATGTTCCTGGCCAGCCAAGGAATCCGACACGCATTATCAGCACCGGGGAAACCATTCACGAACGGGCTTGCTGAAAGGATGGTGAGAACGACCAAGGAAACTTTGGCAAGGCTGGGGCCCGGGGACATGCAGGCCAAAATAGACAAACTACTGACCATCCAGCACATTACACCGAGCGCATCCACACACCGAAGCCTGGTGGAATTATTAATGGGGAGGAAGTTACGATCCCCATTAGACAGGCTGCACCCACAGTACAGCACGGAAAAACCAACCAATTCCACAAGCAGGATCTGGCAATTCCAAGTGAGGGACAAAATCTACGCTAAGAACTTCAGCGGTAACCCCCCTATGGATACCGGGAGAAATAACCGAAGTCACAGGACCACTGTCTTACAGATTACAGACCGAGGATGGCCAACAGTGGAAGCGGCACATCGACCAGATCAGAGGCCGAGTGGCCAGAAATGAACAAGGCCCACCAGAAAACGCCCAAGAGCAAAGGAAGGAAAAATGCACAGAAAGGAACCAGGCCCTACCACAGGCATAACCACAAGACAGCACAGGAAAAGACTCAAACCCGAGAAGAGACAGCGGATACTTACCTGAAGTTCAAGAGGAGAACGCCAGTGACAGTCCACCAGGTCGTCTGGGGAAGGAAGGAAGTAACATCCAAGGAAATAAGTCCATACCAGCGAGCGAGTTCGAGAGAGTTCCGGAGGCAGAGCCAGCAGAGTCACAGACCTCTCACTCCAAGAACGCTGGGACGACTGCTCTGCGCAGGTCTAGTCACACACCGAGACAACCCGCCTACTTACGTGACTACGTAGCCTAGAGACTTCAGAATTGGTTATGCTGACTAGAGGGGAGGGGTGTTGAGTATTGAATGGCAGATTTGAACGGACCAATCAGGAATGGGAGCGGGAGATTCAGAGTAATGTCAGTGGCTGAAGCCGTGGACAGCTCCTAGCTATAAAAGGAGCTGCTGCGGCCAGCATTCCCATCGCTATTTACGAAGCTAATAAAAGTGTTTAATTCTATTGCGTGTCCAGTCCTTCTTGCACCCACGATCTAACACAGAGAAAACTACCCCAGGTAAGGAAAGGTGTTATTTGCTCTAATGGCTGACCATCTATGGCTATGATGTCATTTCCCAAAGACCATCACTTTTGAACTTGCTTTATAAATTATCAGATAATTATTAAGACAAAACAATCCAAGTCTATACAATCCAATGTGTAAGTATGATAATATCACATTATCTGTGTAAATCAGTGTATTCCAATAGGAATTTAGCAGGCTAAACATGTGTACCTATAGCAGAACATATAACAAAATAAAAGGGTTGGAAGGGACCTTGGAGGTCCTCTAGTCCACCCCCTGTTCAAGCAGTAAACTAGGCATAATAGCAGTAACTGTGAGAGGGATCCTGGAGTCTTAGCGGACAACCAATTAAATATGAGTCAATATGAAATATGATATTTCAGGACAAATTTATTGCCAATATTAGATTATTAAATTATGCATTATTATTATTATTATTATTATTATTATTATTATTATTATTATTATTATTATTATTATTATTATTATTATTATTTATTGGATTTATATGGCATATTTAATGGTATATCTATATACCATTTAACTCTAGCTAAAACCTTCTGGTTCTTCTGCAAGGAATGAATTTTTCTCTAGTTTAACTAAGAGGATCATGGCATAAATTTTAGCCACAATATCTGCTAGTCTATTTGGTCTAGAGTCCTTTTTATTCCACATTTTAGATAGATAAAATGCTACTCTTGCCAACTTCAATCCAATTGGATAGGGCAGGCATTATTTATCTGTGAAAATGAAGATGCCAATAGAGGCCCAAAAACCAGGAATATTTTTTGATCAGTTAAATAGTTGGTAGAATGTCTTCTCCAGGGAATGTATTGCTTGCATTTAAGGCCTTTTCTGATTAATCTCAACTTGAACATAATGGGGTAAAATACTGACATTTTTGATAATATGGAGAAAAGCAGCTCTTGGATTCCATGGAGAAGACATGATTGCATCTATTGCTCATCCTCCACCACCCATTCCTCACTTTACCAGAAGGAGAAACACACACACAAACCTGAGGGACTTTGTAGGTGCCTCCTAATGTTGACATCTGGATGGAGATCTCCCTGTCAGCTCCATCAAGAAGAGCCAGAAGGTTCTCCTTCCTTCCACAGCCGTAGTTGGGGACATTGGCTTCTCCAGTGGAGAGCATGTCCAGCAAGGCATCTGAAGTGTGGAAAGCGCTCAAATAGTTGTTATGGATGTTGTAGCCAAGTGTGAGGTTGTGTAAGAGATGGGAATTCTTGTTGACCATTTGAATGACGAAAATGTATAGTAAGCAAAAATAAAAATCGTAAGTAGTCCTATTAAAAAAAAAAGTTATTATAATCAACAGCCACAACAAATACTTTTGTTATATATAATATATATAATCCTCCACAAGCCTACTGAGCCTTAAACCAACATTGATCCGAAAGCAAAGATCAGTTACACTTATATGGAAATGGGCTGAGGTACGACAACTACAACTGATTCCACCACTACTTTAAATACAATTCATTATCCAAGTGATAAATTAAGGATTAGACTGAGGGAGGAAAATAATCTGCAGCCCTTTCAGCTTTTTTTCAGACCCATTTTTGAGTTTCTTTCACAAAATTAGACCAAAGAGAAAAGCCATGGAAATCAAAAGCCCTGGTGGCGCAGCAGACTAAAGCACTGTTATTAACATCAGCTGCCTGCAATTATTGCAAGTTCAAATCTCACCAGGCTCAAGGTTGACTCAGCCTTCCATCCTTTCTAAGGTAGGTAAAATGAGGACCCGGATTGTGGGGGCAATAAGCTGACTTTATATAAATATACAAAAGTATGAAGGCTATTGCTTAACGTATTGTAAGCCGCCCTGAGTCTCCGGAGGAGGGCGGCATATAAATCAAATAATAAAAAAAAAAAAATTCAGGAAATTAGACATATTCCCCAATATAGGAATAAATGAAGAAAAAAAAAAGAAAAGAAGGAGAGTGTTAGAATGGAGGGAGTGCAACTCCATCACCCTGAATGACTTACGGATCATGGAAAATAAACTGAAGAGAAGGAGCCACGTTGAAAAGCAACTTTCTATGCAGTATTTCATTTCCATTGGTGACTATACCGATTAGATGGTCTCCTGGTCTGTAGTAGCTCCATGGTTTTCCATCCTGGTTCTCCAAACTCAGCGGGCATTTCATTCTCAGTTTACCAGAGACTGGATGGCACAAAAGCAGCAACAGAAGCAGAAGCATGAGATCCATCATTCATGGCGTGAATCAATGAATCCCTTTCCTGTTTCTAAAGAAGAATTAGAAGAATCAAACGAGTCTCACAAGGTGGAAGATTCAGTTGCTTTTTCTCAACACAGAGAAACACTCAGCTTCACCTGGAAAGGAGAGAGACATACATTCAAGAGCACAGACCCTGCCTGTCCCAAAACCCCATATTTCTCTGCCCAAAGTCTCCCCTGGAGGATTCGGCCAAACAGCAGAGCTGAAACTTTTATCACTGTTCTCCCTCTCAGGAGGGATCCCTGGATAATTCAATTAATTCTTGAACTGGGAGATTGATGGAAAATTCTCTGGAGGGAAATGAAAGGGAAATGATCTCCACGTGATTCATAATAACAGGGGCAGAGATGGAATTAAATCAGTCATCTAGAATTGAGAGTTTTGGGAGCTCCATGCTTGAAAGTGTCCCTGGAGGGAATACATGGCACCTGTGGCTGAAGAAAGAAAGAAATCTGAGATTTGTTTGCATAGTGATGAAAGACAAAACTCAGAGGGACAGTTAATGCCGGAGCATGTCACAGATCTGAAATAGCTGCCAGCTGAGTTGGAACCAAAATTTACTTTATTTTGAAAGCTAATGCTCAAGGGCATCGCACAAAGGAGCTGATGCAATAGTGTGGCCAGTCTGTAAGAACAAAATCAACTTTGTGAAAAACTAGTTTTTCGAACTTTGCATAGTTAACAAAAAATGAGAGAGAGGGGGGGAGAGGGAGGGAGGGAGGGAGAGAGAGAGAGAGAAGGATGTTAGAAAAAAAACCAAGTGAAAAGAGATGGAGAAATCAAGGCTGCCTCTCACCTCATGTGGGGAGGGAGGGAGGGAGGGAAGGGGAGCTCAGGACCCTCGTGTTGCAGATGGAAAGCTGATCTTCAAAATCCAACTTCCATCTTCAGTAACCCAGGAATGCAGAAGCCCATGTCCCATGTTCCCTTGCCACCCTTTCCCATGCAGAGGCCAGGCAAGGACTCTTGCAGGGATGCCAGACAGGACTCTGCCCGGCCTAGTGGGGAGCCCCTCTTGGGAGGAGGAAGCTGGGGAGCCTCGTGGTGGGGAAGGGAAGCAGATCTGCAAAATCTCCCTCCAGGTTCCATCTTCCGAGTCCTGGAAACAGGGGAGACCATATCCCATGTTGCCTAGCCACCTCTTTCCATGCATGGGGCACTCAGGGGGGAAAGAAAAGCCAAGACCCACGGAGAAAGCCCAGGATGGCCAAGAAGGAGGAGGGGATCTGGGGCATTCCAGGGAAGAGACCAACCTGGTTTATGGGTCCCAGGGTTGAACGTTGGGGGGGGGACGCAGCCCCTGGGGTTTCTCCAGCCTCACTTGGGCTCTGTGTCTTTCCAGGAGAGGCTCCTGTGGGGAGAAGCCATGCAGGGCTGGGTCTTCCAAGAGGGATCCAGGGTTGCCCAGGAGGAAAAGGCGGCCAGCCTCACCCTGGAGGGGACCCTCCGTGACTCTGAGGAAGATGGGGGTCCCCTGTGGCCACTCCAAAGCCCCCAGCTGAGGAGACCCTCTTCATTGCAACCATTTCTGGGGAAGGGATTTAAGCCCCCCCCCACCCTCTGCAATTCTGGGAGCTTTTGCCTCCTTCTCATCCCCCCCAAAGCTTTGAATTTTGCTCTTTATTTGACCCCCCACTCTTTTGGCTTGGCTTCTTCAGCCTCTTCTCCATCTGTAATGATTGCCTCTCCTTCCAACTTAAGAAAGTAAAGACTCTTGAAACGTGATCGTTCAAAAGGATCCTTTTATTAAGCAGAAGTGATAGCAACCCAGTTAAAGAAAGAGCTGAATACCCTTAGGCAAGACAAGTAGGATTAAATCAGTAGAAGCCCCTCCCTTTTAGTCAGAATGCAGATTTTAGTCAATACACAAGTGTGAAGATGTTTTCTTTACTAGTTTCCCTGAGTACCCGAACAAACATGCATTCACACTGTTATCCTTTAAAGTGAAACAACCCACATGGCTATCATAAACATTCCTCCACGTTAAGAGGATCTCAGGGCTCTTTGGCGCCAGGATATAGGTTGTAAAATATCTGTTGACAAAGGCAATGCTAGTAAATTGAATCTGTCAGATGTAAATGCCTTATTCTATAATGTGTAAATAGTATATGAATGGGATATCAGGGGTTAACTTATCCTTCTATTCTTAATGTATTCATATTTCACCACTCCCTCATATAGCTCCACCCACTGTATATATAAGGAGCCACCTTCACCCTTTTCCTTGCTTCTATCTGTGAATATTCAGTGAATATAGAATGCCTATTGTAAATAAAAGGAAGTATATTTAAACCTTTAACTCTTACTATTATTATTGAGTCTGATCCTAAAAATATTGCAACGAGCTGGTAGCAGAGGATGGTTAATTGACTCAATAAAAACTTAAAAATGTCTAAGAAAGATAGGCCCAACACCAGGGCCTACAGCAAAGAAATAGAAACAGAAAAAGAAATAATCAACGAATCCACAAACGCAATTTCGAGAGAATCCGAAGAATACATCACTGAAGACGAAGAAATAAGAGATGAAAATGATGACCAGGAAGAAATCGAAATAGAGAATAACGAACTCAGGTCAGAGATATTAAAACTATTAAAAAGCCAGAAGAATGATGAAAGCCTCATCGCGAACCTCCAAGAAATGCTAAAGAACAGCGGAGCAGCGAGAGAGAAAAACAACACTAATGAGAAATCTAAAGACACAAAAATAGTGAGTAATACGACTGCAGAGAAAGTCATTACGAAGAAGAAAAAATGTGCTCCGGCGTGAAATTTTGAATGGCAGCCATCTTGGTTTCAACAGACCTCCGAGATGAGCGAAGCAGAGCCAATCAAAATGCTCAGTTCAAAATTTCTGGCGCGAAAAACGTTATCAGACAACGAAAATGAAAAAGAGGATTCAAACTCATCGGAAGAGTCAGAAACAGAAAGTGAAGATGACCCAACAAGATCCCAAGTAAAGTCAGCAATGAAGACGCTTTTTGCTGCATTTGGGCCAAAACTAAAAATTACCAAAGAGCCACCGAAGAAGCGAGCGAGCAAGCCGACACCTCAAGACCTGCCCGCTCCCATCCTGACTTCGAGAGCGACGACGCCCGAACACAGAGAGCCTTGTCGATTCCGTCCTACACCACAGACCGAAGCAAGTGCCAACGCCCCCAAAAGAAAAAGAAGAGCAGCTGCCGTCGTCAGAACTCCCAAGGCCGAACCAGAGACCGATTCGTCTGAAGAGGAGCGGAGCGAACGAGCCGCAATGGAGAGAACCTTCCACGACGACGCCGAAGAAGAAATGAACAACGCGCATGCGCGAAACTATGCAGACGGTCCGGGAAGACATGAACTGGCGAGAGAACCGCGCAGACTCGTTGCGAGCATCCCCATGCCGTTTTGCAATTTTCTACACTTGCGAGACCACGGACTACCTCAGGTTGTAAGTAATGGACAAAATAATGTGGGAAACTTACCCAGCGACTTCCCAAAACTAAGGGTTGATGGCATTAATTTGCAAGAATGGTATCAACAGCTCCAGGTTATATTTATGAAAGAAAATTTACTATTTTTTATCACTAGTCCCCCAAAAAGACCTTGGACTTTAAAAATAGATTGTTTACACCATAGGGCATTTTTCTTAATAATATCTAGTGTGTCTCCTGCAATGTATCATAGCATCAAACCAAACCTAACTGTTTCAGAAATTATTCAATGCATGTTTAATTTGTTTCACAGCGACAGTGTAGCCACCACCACAAGAATGTCTAAGGATTTCTTTTCATCTAGGGTGAAACCAGGGGTTTCTATAAGTGAGCATTTGATATCTTTAAACAAAATAAGAGCTGAACTGCATTTGAGGGGGGAGGTGATTTCAGACCAAACAATGAAAAGTGTTATTATCAATTCACTTGATTCATCATGGGATAGTTTTATGTCACATTTAGACACTATCAATCTAGGATATTTATCCATAGAAAGTCTATCCAACAAATTGATAGCAGAAGACAATTCAAGAAAAAATCGTACTAGCAATCACACAGAGCACAAACCTTTTAGGAAAGTAGCTTTCCAAGACAAATATAATGAAACACTTAAATGTCACAATTGTGGATCCAGGGAACACAATAGAAGAGATTGTCCCAAAATTTCAAAGGAAAGACATAGGTCAGAATATAGGAACAAATACAATTATAGACAGTCTTCCATAGATAGACATAGATATAGAAGCCCACCAAATTACAGAGAAAATAGAGGGGGCAGAGAAAATTCAAAGGATAGAAAATCTGGTTCACTGAATGGACTAAATAAACAAGACAACGCTAAAATACAACAAAATGAGAACAACAATTGGCTTATTGATTCTGGAGCAACTAATCACACCACTAATAACAAAAATATATTGTCTTCATTTACAGAAGATAAATTTGTAATAAAGGTAGCTAACCAAGAAAAGGTTCAAGTATTAGGCAGAGGGAACGTAACCTTGCCTGGTCTAGGAAAAATAGAGGGGGTATTATTAATACCTGAAATACCTCATAACATACTAAGTGCCATAAAACTAAGTAGAGACTCTGACATTAATATAGTTTTCTCAAAGGGAAAAGCGACTTTGGAGAAGAATAAAATAAATGTAGGCACTGTGATGATTAAAGGAGGCCTACCTTATCTGATAACAAAGGAAGAATGGTTGCATAACATTGATTCAAATATAGAAGATTGTATTGAAGCAGATGATGAAAATATTAGCAACAGTGACAATGATGAATGTAAAATATCTCATGATCATGCAGATGCACACAAAGAAAAAAAACCAAAAATAGGTAAGCCAATTCATGATGAGTGTGCTCACATCTTACATAGGAAGTTAGGACATGCCAGTTTTCCTGTAGTGCAAAAAATGATTGAACACGCAGAAGGTGTCAAAATAAAAAATTGTGAAAACTATTTGGAATGCTCAGTATGTAAATCTACAAAACTAAAAACTAGTCCCAGGCCAAGAAAATCTAATAAAACAACTAACAAAATTTTTGACTTAGTACACATGGACCTAGTTGGCCCATTAACTCCATCAATCACTTATAGAAAACGTTACTTCCTGACAATAGTAGACGATTATAGCCGCTATGGGTTTGTTTACACATTAAAACACAAAGATGAAACCTTTCAAAAATTTAAGGAATTTTACAAACGCATAGAAACAC